AACCTGCACGTAGGCGCATCACTTTATAGAAAGACACTTCCAAATTATTTAGATTTAGGTTCAAAATCGGGGATTGTTTGGTTGTCAGAGGCAGTGTCAGCCTCTTTGTATCCGCCTGAAGCATGCCCGACCATTGGATAACGACGGTCACACACTGGAGGCAAAAGGGGGTCAAGAAGACTTATGAATGCAGTGATGCTGCTAATAAGATATTCAGTGGAAATTGACTGTCACGGAGGCACAATGGAGGCAGAAGAGATCAAAGTGCACATTTCGAGGCATTGATTGCCAAGAATTATTAAGTGGCACTTCTCTGGCACGAACACACCCTGGAGGGAAAACAGTGACATGACGCATCTTGAGGCAATGAATGCCAAGAAGATATTCAGTGACACATCACAGGCACGAAGACACCCTGGAAGCAGACGAATTCCTTGAAGACATCTCGAGGCATTGATTGCCAAGATTAAATTTAGTGGCACTTCACTGTCATAAAGACAGCATGGACGCATAAGGTTTCTTAAAGGACATTTCAATTCATTGATTGCTAAATATACATTCAAAGACACTTCACTGTCACAAGGAAACCTTCAGGCTGAAGAGTTCTAAGAGGATATTTTAAGGAATTGATTGCTAAGAATATATTCAGTGATATTTCACTGTCACGAAGACACCCTGGATGCAGAAGAGCTCTGAAAGGAAATCTCGAGGCATTGATTGCCAAGAATGTATTGTTTGACATTTCAATTTTACGAAGACACTCATTAAACAGAAGAATTCCATAAGGACATCTCGAGGCATTAAATGGAAAAAGTGGATTAAGTGGCACTTCACTGTTCACAAAGACAGCTTCGAGGCATAAGGTTTCTCAAAGGACATTTCAATTCATTGCTTGCTAAAAATACATTTAAAGACACTTCAATGATACGGAGACACCTTTGAGACAGAAGAATTTCATGAGGATATTTCGAGGCATTGATTGCTAAGAATACGTTCAGTGGCACCTCACTGTCAAAAAGACACCATGGATGCAGAAGAGTTCTCTCGAGGCATTGATTGCCAAGATTATATTGAGTGGCACTTCACTGTCAGGAAGACACCCTTGAGACAGAAGAATTTGAAGAGGATAGTTCGAGGCATTGATTGCTAAGAATATATTCAGTGACATTTCACTGTCACAAAGACACCCTGGAAGCAGAGGAATTAAAAACTTCACATATTTCAAAGTAATCCCATATATGATATATACCGGACAAATGTATCAGAGAAGGTAATTTTTAATCATTAATGTCCAAAGAAGGATTTGAATTAACGGTGGTAACCATGATTTGTTCCAAGCACCTACGGTATTCCGTAATAACATCAACAGTTTAAATCATAAGTCCCAAGCACGAGAATCTGCTGGCACACAAGTTCGGTAGCGTCTATGGCCACCATGTGCGTTGACAACTGCCACACAACGCCTCCGCATGGACCTTTTGATGCTTGTGAACACATGATTGGAAAGACGACGCCATTGTTGCTGCAAAATGGTGCCAAGATCTTGCTAATTCTGTGGTTGGTTCTGGAGAGTGCGCAGACTTCTGCCAAGAGCATCCCAGACGTGTTCGATGGGATTGAGGTCGGGAGACCTTGACGGCCAGTCCATGACGTTGACTCCCGCATTCGGAAGGAAATTCCTTGTCAAAATTGCTTTATGGGGTCTGGCTTTGTCGTGTTGGAAGATCAAACCGGGTGCATGTGCTGCAAAACAGGCAGAAGTTCTGGTGCCAGTACCTGGTCGCGGTAAGCAGCAGCGTTGAGGTTGTCACTGATGACAAGAAGCCTGTAACGTACATTGCTACAGAAAGCACACCACACCATGACACTTCCGCCTCGAAATCTGTCAACTTCCTGTACACAACACTGGGCGTAACGTTCATGACGGCGCCTCCACACCCTCGTTCTACCATCAGCAAATCGAAGATTAAATCGGGATTCATCACTGAAGACGATATAATTCCAATTCCTCTGAGTCCATCGTAAGTATCGCTGTGCCCACAATTGACGTTGACGTCTGTGTAATTGAGTCAGAATCATCCCGCAGTATGACCGTCGTGCTTGAAGGTGAACAGTTCTCAGACGGTTTCGAACAGTTTGCGCACTCAGTCTACCCCTAAACAGTTCATTTCTGGTTGATGTAGCCGTCAAAAATCGGTTACGGAGGTGATGTAAGACAATCTGACGATCCTCTGCATGTGACGTCACACGTGGTCGGCCTAGCCGAGGGTGATCAGCGGTGGTACCCGTTTGCTGTAGACGCGTCTGTAAATCATAAAAAGTCCGTCGACTACAACCCATCGTCACGAAGACTCCTTGGATGCCGAAGAGTTTCATGACAACTCGACGCATTGATTACCAAGATTATTTTGAGCGGCACCTCATTGTCAACGAGACATCCGTCAGACAAGAGTTTGAAGAGGATATTTGGAGGCATTGATTGTTAAGAATACATTCAGTGATACTTCACTGTCACGAAGACACCTTGGATGCAGAAGAGTTCCATGACATCTCGAGGCATTGATTGCCAAGAATATATTGAGTGGCACTTCATTGTCACGAAGACACCCTTGAGACATAAAAGTTTGGAGAGGATCTTTCGAGGCATGTATTGCTAAAAATATATTCAGTGACACTTCACTGTCACAAAGACAACCTGGAGGCAGAAGAAATACCTGAGGACATTTCGATTCATTGATTGCTATGAATACATTCCTTTACACTTCACTGTCACAAAGACACCTTGAATGCATAAGAATTCTATGACATCTCGAGGCATTGATTGCCAAGATAATATTGAGTGGCACTTCACTGTCACGAAGACACCCTTGAGACAGAAGAGTTTGAAGAGGATATTTCTATTCATTCATTGCTGAGGATACGTTCAGTGACACTTCACTGTCACAAAGACACCCTGGAGGCAGAAAAATTCCATGAGAACATTTGGAGACATTGATTGCTATGAATACATTCAGTGACACTTCACTGTCACGAAGACACCCTAGAGGCAGAAGAGTTCCATGAGGACATTTCGATTCATTGATTGCTAAGAAAACATTCAGTGACACTTCACTGTCACGAAGACACCTTGAATGCAGAAGAGTTATATGACATCTCGAGGCATTGATTGCCAATTTTGCATTAGGTGACACTTCACTGTCACCAAGACACCCTAGAGGCAGAAGAATTCCATGAGGACATTTCGATTCTTTCATTGCTAAGAAAACATCCCGTGACACTTCACTGTCACGAAAAAACCTTGGATGCAGAAGAGTTCTATGACATCTCGAGGCATTGATTGCCAAGATTATATTGAGTGGCACTTCATTGTCACGAAGATCCCCTTGAGACAGAAGGCTTTCAAGAGGATATTTCTATTCATCGATTGCTAAGGATACGTTCTGTGCCGTGACACTTTACTGTCAGGAAGACACTCTGGATGCCGAAGAATTCCATGAGGACATTTCGAGGCATTGATTGCTATAAATACATTCAGAGACACTTCACTGTCACGACGACAGCTTGGAAGCAAAAGAGTTCCTTGATATCTCGAGGCATTGATTGCCAAGATTATATTGAGTGGCACTTCATTGTCACGAAGACACATTTGAGACAGAAGAGTGCCAATAACTCCACGAGGGGCAATGATTGCCAAGATTATATTCATTGACAATTCCGTCACGACGACAACTTGGAGGCAGAAGAGTGGCATTTATCATGAGGAGGCAACGACGGGCAAGGATATATTCAGTGTCAATACAATGTCACGAAGACACCCTGGAAGCAGAAGAATTCCATCTCGAGGCATGGATTGCCAAGAATATATTGAGTGGCACTTTACTGTCACAAATACACCCCAAATTCAGAAGAGATTCATAAGAGGACATTTCGAGGCATTGATTGCTGATGATATATTCTATGATACTTCTTCGTCACGAAGACACCCTGGAGCCAGAAGAGATCCATGAGGACATCTCGATGCATTGATTACCAATATTTTTAAAATGGCACTTCCTGTCACGAAGACATCTTGGATGCAGAAGAGTTCTAAGAGGCCATTTCCGGGCATTGATTACTAAAAAAATTTAAATGACACTTCACTAATAAAGACACCCAGGTGGCAGAAGATTTCCATGAGGACAAATCGAGGCATTCATTGCCAAGAATATATTTTGCGTAACTTCACTTTCACGATGACACAGTGGAGACAGAAGAATTCCAATCGGCCGTTTTGAGGCGTTGATTACGAAGAATATTTTCAATGACACTTCGCTGTCATGAAAAAGTATGAAAGTTCCAAGAATGTTAATCTCGAAGCATTGATTGCTAAGAAGATATTCAGTGATAATTCACTGTCACGAAATAATTCGAGACCTCTTGAGGAAATGATTGCCAGAAGATATTCAGTGTCACTGTCACGAGGACACCCTGGAGGCAGAACAGTGCCTTTCACTTCAGTGTCTATTTCTGCAGATATTTGTTAGGTCACAGTGACCTATTTTCAATGAAAAGCATGAACCATATTTTCGTTGTGACATAGAATTCCACCATGAGACTTCATATTGGGTTTTATATACTGGTTAACCCTTGAAAATATTGCAGTTGATATTGATAATGTCAAGCTCATGTGTTCTCAATAATAAAAATCATTCAATGTAGTTACAATTAATTGAAATGACGAAGACCTACTATAAGGTCTAAATGACTAGGCAATCAAATGCAATTTTCCATAATAATCCCCCAAATGTTTTCACGTCGAAGGTCAGCATTCATGTTTGTTTGTTTGTTTGTTTGTTTGTTTTTGTTAAGTGTATTCTAAATTCTCTGGACATAGCACTGAAAAACATTAAAATGACACAAACCAATTAATTCCTAAGATCGATTGGTTGGCACGTCACTAGTTCAGGAATTATGATTTTACAACCAGTTCTCATCACCAGTTGTGGATGGATGACGTCCTGAGGGTGGCGCTTTGAAGTGATGAGGTTTTGAGTGACCTTCTATGAAGATTAAGGTCACTGGATTGGTCTGTCTTAAGGTACTTCTGCTCTTTCTGTACTGAGGAAATAATGTGTGTGTATAACATGTTTGTAAGAGCTTACACCTATGTTTTCAACTAAAAATAATCAAACATGTGATTCTCTTTAATTGAGGTCAAGGTAATTACACCAAAAATGCTTATAACTTTCTGTTTATGGTAGCTTGTGGAATAACACTTTCTGTTTTGAAGTTGTCTTCTTTCCAAACGGGAAATGATGTCATTTAACTGGAAGTGCCAACAACTTTCTTAGTAATGTTGGTGCAGAACTGTTTTTAGGTTGTGATGCATTGAGCTTATGTTATGTTTGGCCTTTACTACAATTAAGTCAGTTTGTCTGTTTTCCCATTACAGAGGTGAAGTTATCAAACCAAGAGTGCTTACATTGACAGCTTGAGGCACAGGACTAATTTCTACTGCATTTGGCAACATGAGGTATCCGTGATGAATCTAAAACATGTATTGATGAGATCATCTGTCACTTTAGTAGATGGACGTTAAAATGGGTCATGATACACGTTTGTTGTGGTAAAGTTTTCGCTATTCAAGAAAAATTATATAGGGACTAGTTCTGTGTTGCATGTAATTTAATATATTTATTCATATATGTTTTACATGTTTGTCCTTGCATCTGTAGGTAGTTGTAGAATAGCATTACTGTTGTAAATATGTAAGCTTAGTGCCATAAGGTAGAAATGGATCCCATACACCTGGGAATATTGTAACAATTTAAACCTTTAAAATTATGGTCGCGGTTGTTTGATCAACATCCATGGCGAGATGAAGTTTGAAATGCATTGCTTCGATGCTGTCAGTGCCATTCAAATTGATAAGCAGAGACATATAGCATTAATTATGAGAAACAATACGCGCTGATGGCTGAAAATCAATGTTACGACATACTAATTCTACATGTCACCAATTTGTAAGTGCTTACTTGTAACGTTGTCTTTCTTTTTCATTCAGTATGAATCACTTGATCCACCAAGACTTGAACGAGCTGTGGAGGACAAGTAGTTGGTACTTGACAAAAAGCCACTGTGATGGGCATTACTTGCACCGGGTACCACCTGGAAAACTCGCAGTTGTGCCCCGAATGATTGTGCACCGTCCTCTAATCACTCGAACGTGATGCCACACTAACAACTACTGTGGGACTAGGTGGTTTCAATATCATACTTGTGAGGCTGACTTTCATGAACTATAGTGTCACGCCATTTTTCTGTATCAAACCATGTATAATAAAAGTATGAAAAATCCACCATTTGGTTTTCATTGTAGCTAATCAGGCATTTGAAGCCATGAGAGTATGAAATGATTTGTTGAAAATCTTGATATGATTCCCTAGTCTATCAGGCCAAATGATTTTCTATTACTGCGAAATATATTGATTGACTACAGAGCCTAATGTTTCAACACCAACGTGTTGTTTACTACAAAAATGACTGCTGAGCGATATTTTGAAGTACATAATACAAAGTGGTAAATAAAAAATGTCTGGCAGAAATTTCTGGAGGTATAAAAAAGATTCTTCCAGACATTTCTGCAGTACAAAACAAATCAGTCAGAATTTTCTTCAGAAATGCATTTGAGCTCATTTGAGGAACATAAACTTTCCAATGTTCCTGTGTGTTCCTGTAGGCTCGATCCCTTTATGGTCATGTTCGGACTGCTGACCATTCCAAAGTTGTATCGCCTCTCCTTCATGTAAGTTATATCCCAGCGTGTTACATGTAGGTTCATGCGGAGGAAACGTCTGAAGCGGTACAGAACGTAGGAGAACCCAAATGTCAGTAAAATGATAAAATATAAAACCTAGCAAATTCGAAAATTAGGCTACAAAAAATACAGTGCTCTCGCTGTCAGTTGACAATGCATTTGTTTAAAAACAACTCTCGCAATGCAATTTAATTTTGATTTTCTAACAAAAATGATCACACATATCTTCACACCGCGATTAAGTTGTAACCAGGGTGTTTGTGACCCAACAATGGGTATATATATCCAATCAACAACATTGGTATTCTTTGTTAAAATAGAAAGCATGTAAGTCTCCTAAAAGCAAGGCTTGACCAACTAAATGGTACATTAGCATCAAATAGGATATCAATATGGTCTAATCAATGTATTGATGTACGTGGGGAAACCTGGCCAGCATACATGTGTAATAATATACAAAGCAATATGTCATCAGGTCGGTTCGTGACCAGTGAAGATCCGGGGTAGAATAGATCTTCAGCAGCCCATGCTTGCCGTAAAAGGCGACTATGCTTGTCGTAAGAGGCAACTAACGGGATCGGATGGTCAGGCTCGCTAACATGGTATCCCAATTGCGTGGGTCAATGCTCATGATATCAGTCATATATCATGAAACACTGAACACTGAACCATATATGTAATCCTGACACAGGACACCTCACATTTGAAGTCAGGATTTGTGTGAGTCAGTGTGTTGGGTTTAACGCCGTTTTGAACAGTATCCCAGTTATATCACGGCGTGTCAGCTAGACGTGGGCTGAAAGCCCATAGTAATGCAGGTTTCAAACGTTTATCACCTTGGTGAAACCCACAAGCACGGGTGTGGTGCTGGCAAACCTAGAAAGGTAATCGTGGCGAACCGGGATTCGATCTCACAATCATATGTTTTCAATGGACCTAACTCTGCACAGTGAATTGCTGAGCCTTAGACGACTGGGCCACCCATGGACTCAAATCAGAACAACTGTTAATGCAACGTTGCGAGGGCACCTTTTTAAAACGACGTCCAAGCTAATACTTGATTATCTGTTATTCTATGCATTGAACCAATGACCTGCATGCACAAAACATGATAATGATGTATGATGAAACTATTCCATTGTCACAATGGATGTAATGTGTGGATAGTGCTTGAATAGGATCCGACCCCTGAAGATCCGGGGTAGAATAGGTCTTCTGCAACCCATGCTTGTCGTAAGAGGCGACTAATGGGATCGGGTGGTCAGGCTCGCCGACTTGGTTGATGCATGTCATCGTATCCCAATTGCGTGGATCGATGCACATGATGTCAATCACTGGATTGTCTGGTCCAGACTCGATTATTTACAAACCGCCTTCATATAGCTGGAATATTGCTGAGTGCGGCGTTAAACAGCAAACAAACAAACTGTTGATAGAATTTTAGATCTTCACAATCACCGGGTGTGACCATATTGACAGAATCTCGTTAGGGTTTGTGATTTTTACATTTGCCCAATGGCCATGGTGAGTGTTATTGGGGATACCAAAGGTGACAGTTTACTATTAGAGGAAATTGGTTGTGAGTACTTATACCATTTGGATAGGATATCTTTAGGATTTTAATCCTTTCTTTCGCTGTGGGTAATCCTTTCACGTTGATGGAAGGAAGTCACTCAACCAGGTCATGACAATGGTTATGCGCAAGGCTCGGAATCACGAATAGATCACTAGAGGTGTTGATGCAGGCTGGACATGCAGCATACAGCATTTCCAGTGTAGGCTGGCACCTCGTCTTTGTTTCACTCGGTATGTAAAACCTTGACCATTCACAGGTGCATTTGTCTATTTACAATGAAGTTGTTTGGCGTTCCCAGTATTTATATAATATCTCACTGATCACTGCAAGTGCCTTAATTATTTAAGTTTCAGTGAATTGAGTTTATTCACATGTTAGCTTTCAAAGGTTGTGATACATACTTGTAAAATCCTCAGTTGAGTTTACTCACTAACTACTGTGAGCGTTTTTGGCATGATATCTGTGGGAATTGTATAAACACAGTAACTGCTAAAAGCGGCGTAAAACCACGCTCACTCACAGTAACTGTTAATCCTCTGCATTGTGCTGGCAAACTGGAGATAAACCTGTGACGATCAAACTCAGTTAGAATCCTTGTTTATCTGTGACATCTTCCAACTGGAGACATTTTTGTAAACTTGAAAAGTGATGATGAATTTTAATATTCATATTATTGAAACCATCCTTTTTAAGGGACCGTTTATGCCTAGAATTGTTACGGGGAATTAACTCCGGGATCTCCACGCCTTCAAAAACAGACAGAGAGGTTCTCAGGCGAAATGCAGGAATGACCCTATGCCAAGATACCCCTGCATTTATACCCGAGACCTCCAGTCCACGTTTGAAAGCATGTCACTACCCATCTGTCCAGTTTGGAATTGCTAACAATGGTTTCCCACATGGTGGTCAAATTTTGAAAGTTTTGATGTGCTGACTTGCTTGCTTATAGGCTGGTCGGCTGTGATTGAAACTGGTCAATCGGCTCTAGAATTTCAATACATGAAATTGATAACAATGGCTTCTCAAATGTTGGTCATAAATCATCATAATGTTCAATTTCAGTCTGGCACACCAAGCGTGAATAAGCTTTATACATGTGTTGATAAAGCACACTGACGCATATACATTTTGGTGGATATGAAACATTCTAGTTAATTGTGGATACACTGGATACATAAGAAAACCACGTGACCGATGAATTGGTACCTTGATATTCAACAAGAAGAATCTTGTTTATTTCAAGGCCATCCTGGTCATCGTTTACTCCTACTTCATGCATGGTTAGAGACAGGATCAAAGGCGCCGCCCAGCATTTATTAGACAACAGACAGGGTTGTCTGTTTCGCTTTGAACCACAATCCCCACCCTGTCGGTAGGTGTTTATCTAATCGGTGAGCACATAACTGTGTCCAGTCTACCGCGGGGTTTGATGCGGTGTCAGTGTCGAATGGTTTGGTGATAGTTGTGCAAATATGCGTTGTATATCGTATATTTTGTTACTAACTATCCTCTTATTTGCTAAAAGAAAACGGATATTACCAACAGTAAGTTAGCCAACTAGAAGATCCACTGCCTGCTACATTCCTTATATAGGCTAAACGGTCTTGTTTGTGTGTACTAGACGTAACATCCGAAGACTAATAAAGTCAATTTTAAGACAGTACAGACTATGGAGCCGAAAGGTAATATGACCAGAACGCATCTGCTGTGTATCAGAGGATGTCTATGACCTGAACTGTTATAACGTTAGATCGCGAGGGCGAAACATTTACGAGCATTGGGACACTGGCTGTGGTTTAAATCAGTCATTGACATAAGAGATGATGTTAATCAAACACACAATTTTGCTTTCATATGAAGCATTATGAGAACTGGGGAGCCAATATGCAAGTATTACACGCATTCACACACGGAAGAAATTTATAGTTGATATTGTATATTTTTCAATCAATCTGAACACATGTATATCAAAATAGCAAATAAACAAGTCCATGGAAAATGCTGTGTTGCACGTTAATGGGTTTTGTGCTTTCACTTTGACATTATATATCATAACAGCGTAAGAGAAGGTTTGGGATTCCTCTTCAAAGTACTAAAATAACAACTGTTGTTTACTGACCAGAGAGTTTTTATGATAAAAAACATTGACAATTAATTTCTTCTCTCATTTTTCAATGTAGTTCACTTCAAATATCTTCTCTTTTTCTAAACTGTTAAGAAAAAATGTTAACATGATCAAAAGGTAAAGAGCCTGTTGAATGTTACCCTATGAGATCTGTCAAATCCATCACGGATTTGACGCCATCTACGGGTTCAGCCATTTCCAATTTCCTCCACTAGTTATTGGAAACGTTCAAGAAAATATTTCCTTTCTCCCTTAATCCCATCTGTCATGCATGTAAAACATATACTTAGTGAGAGCTTTATATAATCCACACAATACACTAATGTTCATTCATTATGATATTGATGGGTGTGGGGAACAGTCCCTTTGAATTTTATGACACACACACATTTATGTATAGTTTGACAGATTATAATAATATGAATATAAAAAATCATCTCCACTTCTCAAGTTCACTACAATGTCACCAGTGGGAACTTGTCGGAGATAAACACGGATTCTAACCAAGTCTGATTTTTTTTTACCATGGAATGCATGAACTGGTTGAGTGACTTCTTTCAATCAGAATTACACACAGAGAAAGAAAGGGCTAAAAATCCTGAAGATATACTGTATAGATGGTATTAAGTTTTCACACCAATTTCCTCTGATAATAAAATATTCCATTTGACATCACTAAGCACCAATACTGAGCAGGATCATTTGGGCAATTGTACAAATCACCTCTAATGTGAAACCCCCAGTGATTGTTAAGATAACAAATCCTATTTGTAGTCAGACAACATGACAGTCTACAGTATATTCATTTCCAATATCCTCCAGTAAATAGTGGGTAATGCCA